TTATAAATCAAATGACTAATCAATCAATCAATCAATTGACCAATCAACCAATCAACCAATTGGCTAATTTATAAATCAATTGACTAATCAACCAATCAATTAAATATAGACTAATCAATCAACCAATAGTTTTGACTAAATACCTTGAGAGTTTGAAAATGCACCTCATCACCTTTTACACGGTAACCTAATGAAACCAACAGACTTTGTTAATGTGGAGTTTATGAATATAAAGTGAATGTAGATAAAATATCAAGAATGATCATAACTTGCCTATAACAGGAGGAACAAATCGGCTACAATGCCTGGAAAAGGTAGACACCGAGTTGGCACCACAATCATGCAAAATGACAAAGTCTCCTTTCTCTATCTAGAAATGGAAACACACATTCTTGTTAAGAATAGTTGTTACTAATATCTTAACTTTATTCATTCATTTTATTTTTTCATTCATTCATTCATTCAATTGTTCTTTCATTATTCATTAAATGATTAATTGACTCTTCCATTCCTGCATTCAACCAGTCATTCAATTATATACATAGTAATCAAATTCAGTACATCGCAATTGCACTATGGCATAATGTTTACATTGTGGATACTGTAGATGGTCAGAAAGATTTCTACCTAATAACATTCTCTCTGAAAGTAGAACTTTAGTTCTCAAGTTTTGATGTACATCATTTAACAATGATAGCTCATCTACATTTTATTTGATATGCAGTCACTCTGATCCCCTCTGGTGACCATAATCCTTAGCGTTAAAACAATAGAATGTTTTGGCGTGACATTTATTATGTGATTATAATCATCATTCATGTAACATTTCTATTTTTCATACACTACAACAACCATTCACGCTTAATTCTCACCTGTGGCAAAATGATGTCTCTGCTGACCACGTCACCAGCGAAGCACAGTGGGCCAGCAATATTGTGAGGTGCCTCCTGGAATAACATTTTATATATTTACAAATGTCATCACATATAAAGTAGCTAAATATAATATACTAATCAAAAGCAAAGTAATGCAAACCAGCTCAGAAAGCTGAATAAGATACATGTACATGCATGGCATATCGTAGCCTCCTTTAGCAGCTGCCCTTGTGTCATCATAGACACAGTCTGTGAGAAGTAGCATTGCATGACAACACCGGGGCAGCTGCTAAAGGAGGCTAGGTATATTGACCTAAACTATAAAAATTGATATAAACAACAAACCTTGCCAGACTTCTTGATTCCTGACGAATCAAACACTTCTACTCTTCTCTGTTGATAAAATAAAGCATTAATCATGCTAGAACACATAACTATGATGCAAGGATATGGCTACATCTTGAAGTTTTAGCAAAATATGCTTTTAATTAGTTTATGTTGGGATTTGGTAAGCAATAATACTATATAATTTTTGTGTCTTCTGATAAAGCTCTTTTTCTCATATATTATATATAATAGAGAGTATTATCTGTCAAGTGTTTTGTTTTACCTTATATTTGTCAACATGTGGTACATAACAAGTTCTCATGCACATGTCCTAACAAATAAACAAAATATCAATGAACAAATAGACTTCACTTAGATGATCACAAAATAATGTTTTCAATTAATTGGAGATTGGTGTTTTATCTTTTGTCAAAAAAACTCCATCCTGGTAGCTGAAGCCATTTTTTATGTTCATTCAAGCAAGTGTGGGATAGGTTATTTGATATAAAAGAAACAACATGAACAATTGTACGCCTGGGCAAAACTAGGATACGTGTCAGTTCCAGCTACAGATTTTGTCGCACACTGCAATGTTTCCAAAATAGCTAACCTGGAAAACATTTAGCATACAAATAGCTGGCAAAAATGAAAAGTGCTACATAAATCCTTTAGCCCCATCAGGAAGCCCATGAGTGCATTCACTATATCCCTGAGTTTGTTAACAAATATGTGCAAATTTGCACACAATTCCTAAATTGTCTTCATTGACTATTGTTTAATCAGTGAACTTTTTTGCAGTTTTTTGTTTTAATGAATGAACTCTACTTGAATGAAAAGCATTGATATTTATTGATAATAAATGCTTGTTAAATTGGTGATATTTAAAAGAATAATACATACAGCACCAACATGGATCAGAGCAATGGTATGATCAGAATCAGGTATTTTCTTTGTGTACTCTACTTGACTTGCAATCCAGCCTGCCTGAAATTAATAGATACCTTGTATTTAATTTTAGACACATTTCAAATGTAAAATACACATTCGTGAATTAAGCTTTTTGTATTGCATTCAACCTTATCAATATCATATTCAATTCTCATCAAATATTTTACCTTTGCATTCAAAGCCTGACCAAATTCCGTAATAATTTTTTTAAAAATTCCTTTTGAGGGAAATATTTGAGGGACAGTTTTCTAGGGAAAACAAAATAAGCAATTAATTTAATCATGTTATATGTTTTGAGTTGGTCTATTTCTCTGCTATAATTACATTTCAGCCAACACCCAATAACTACATGTTATACATCTAACGTCTTGGTGCAAAAAAACTGGTCTAGATTAAATAAACCTGTTTAAAACCAGTTTTGTTAGAGGTTTGTTCCATCCTTCTCAAAACTAAGTGGTCAATAAATAAATATTTATTTTTATTGATAATCAATTATAATTATTCTAATACCAACCTCAAGGCAGTCTGCATACTCCTGGAAGGTTGGAGATATTGAGTCATCTTTCCTGTTCACCTAATAAAAAAAATATTATAAAAATATTCAAACTATAAACCTCCTGACAATTACCAAACACATATTCACTTCATCCTTGTGTCTCCATTTGAATATCAATTTAACACTCAATGGTGACAATAATTTGTGTGAACATAAGTTAAATTTGAGTCAAATCTGTGCACAGTGCTTTTTCGATTTTATCACCCTAATGAAGGGAAACTCAGCCTTTATGTCAAAGTGAACATGAGCATTCCACTGGGAATAAGTGCCCTTGAGCAGTAGTCTCAAGTGGACGCAAAAAAATGGACTCCATTGATGACATATGACAGGGAACCAGCTTAGTTAAACTAAGTTCTCCTAGCTTTAACCACCAACCCCTCCCTTTACTATAATGTTTCTTGATTGGAGCTGTTGAAAGTTATTATAATTTGCCTTACCCCCATACCACCACCAATGTCAATAACATCAACTTGATTTCTGCCCACTCTTTTATTAATATCCTGACAAAAAAAAACAACAACAAAGAAATGAGAGGACATAACATGAAGACTCAGCATCATTTTTACTTTTTGTACCTATAAGTATAACTTAACCTTGATAATGACACTATTTAGAGAGGTCAGGCCAGCAAGAGAATTGACTGGTCATTTTATGGTTGATCTTTCATTTACTTGATAAGATTTATTACAAAATGATTATTTAATCTCATCATTACCAAAGCTAGATCAACTGCAGATTTTGCGCCTTGACAAAGACCAGCAACTCCATAACTCTACAAGGAGAAAATGAAAGATTACTGGTAAAAAAACTAAATTCAAAGAAAAATATGCAGAATGTGACACTATGACAATTTTATTTATTCATAGTAGAACTAGTGAATCTTGCTCCCCTGGCATCTCGGCCCCATCCTATATAGCAATATTGATTGGGGACATAAGACCGTTGGCATGTGGCGAGATCACAATGGGGCGAGATGACCAGATACCACAACTAGCACTTGGGACACTTTTTTAAATAGTATTTTAATTTCAACAATTTCAAAGATGGTGAACTTGTAATGCTATAAGTGAAACAAGATTTCATCATGCCAAGCCCACCAGTTATCTAGGTTTAATGCCAGTATAGGCACAGCTACCTTTTCAGCTCTACCTCAGGGGCGGATCGAGGATTTTCCTCAGGGAGGGGTGCAGGGCTCTCAGGAGGGGGTGCACCCCCGGCAAAAATCATTACCATGAAGATACAAAATAAGGAAGGTATTGAAGGATTCAGGTCTCAGAGGGGGTGTGCATCCCTTGCTCACCAGCTGGATCCGCTCCTGACCTCAAACTATGAAAAGATGACCATTGCCCCTTCTTCCCCCTTCTAACCTCCCCCTTCTAACCCATAAACACAGGTATTCCATGAGTCTCTTTAAGGGATTCAATTTCTAAATTTATAGGGAAGTGTACCTCCACACACCCTCCTTTGTAAGGGTTGTCTGCCCTCTTGTGTCCCACTAATCTAAATTACAAACCTGAGATCCAATATGAACATGAACACATGTCATCCAAGGTCTTTCCACAAACCAGCCAATCACCTCCTCTCTTGATGACTCGGTTAACTGTAACAAACATTACTAAATAATTGTTTGTAATAAATGTGAGAAGAGAGCAACAATACTTACTGGAACTGCAAATTTAGAGTCTGTAGTTGAAACACTGTAACATGAATTATCAAATTCATAAATAATTCATAAGGTAAACACAATGGAATATCATTGATGTGACGGCATCTTTATATGAGCAAGAAATTTGTCCTGATTTGCATACGACTTTAACTTTGATTTTCTCTTAAAAATGATATTTTCTTTTGAAGTTTTTAGCAAAATATGCTTTAGCTTATGTTGGAATTTGATAAGCAATATAAAAAATTTGCGTCTGACCTTTATGGGCTCTTAAAAAACTCATACATATTAATTAATGAGTTATTAGGCCAATAGAATAAGCCTATTTCGTCACGTGCATGGACTTTTATATCTGATAAAGAATACTAATAAGGGTGACCTTTGTCAGATATAAAGATCCATGACCCAAATTGGCCTTAATGCAATAGGTTAATTGCTAGCATTCTGAAATCTCCAAAACATTTGCTTAACTTAATATAAGAATTATTAGTAAAAATTATTGAAACTATTGCAAGAATTAATGAATCACCACCAGTGACTCTGTTTAATAACAACATGATATGATTAAATAATAATGATGATGATGATTTTATTACCTTAATTCCTTGATGTCACCTGCCGCCATTACAGGATTAATCCGCAAACCGACAGTTCCTTGAAAATTACTGCAAGGAAGACAACATTACAAACAACCCAATGAAAATACAAAATCACTGCAGCTATTGTTCTCATAGCCTTTGCGCATCCAATTCCCTGTCCTTTCTTACCTTATGTCCTTCATTATTTCAGAAATAACTTCCAGTTCTTGATAGTTGTCTGTATTGACATGTAACCCATTCTTTAACGCAAATTCTTAAAAAGGAAATCACATTACAAATAAAATTATTGGTATGGCATGTACATAATTACAAGACTGTGGTTCTAAAACCAAATACCAGTTATTAATATGTGATTTATCGAAAATCATTAGGTGTCAGCTAACTACATTGTTTGCAGGCCCCCATTTAAACCAGCCTACGCTGAATTGGGTGGCCTGGTAAAATATTGCTCATAAATAAAATATTGCTCATAAATAAATACATTTACACTTGTGATTTATGCAGAGTTTCACCTGAGTATCAAACATGGTTGAAAATTGGTTGAAACTTTGCAGCGATTTTCCATCGCCACAACAATCACAGGGCTCTTTACGCGTGTGATTTTAGTTGTGTGATAGCAAAAGTGGCGATTATTGCGCTGCAAGTGTAAACAGGCCTTTAGACTGAGATAAAACCAAAATATGAATCTGGCCAACAGAAATCAGTCTAAAATGAATGCTAATCAGGACAATCCAATGCTTAGTTCTTTGTCAGTCTTCTCAGTGATAATTTCTATTGTATTTTCTACAAGAATTATTCATTTATTTGAGGTTTGCACTGGTATATATTGTTGATTGATTTTTCCCCACAGAGGAAAGGTGTGAGATTAGCTATCTTCAGATCAACATACCCAATTCTGGACGAGTTTTAACTGGTGAATCATATACAATATTCTTTGGATCTATACCAGCTTCGAGTGAATTTATAACTTCACCTATAGATGCACATTCTGTACCAATTCCCTGAGGTAAAAAAAATGTTACGACAACAAACTGAGTTAGACAATAATTAGTGCTTTAAGGGGGCAAAACACAAGATACAAAAATGATGTGTCCCCAATAAAGGAGGGACTTAAAGTTTTTGAGAAGTTTGTTCTCATTTTCACCAGCCCCTTCCCCTCCCTGTAAATAATGTCCTGAAGGTCCCTTATATATATCAAAAAGTTCATAATCTACAATATTTGAGATGTTCATAATATGTAAATTCCCCTATTTAGCAGCAACATAAATAAACAATAACAAAATACTTGCTTGTTTGGCCAGGAGAGAAGTTTATTTGCAAACTGAATCTAAAGGAAGGCTAAATTACACTAAATACACAAAGTACAGGCAAATAATACTTCTCTACCACCTCACCCTGGGCGGGTGGGATGGGAAGAAAACGGCTAGAAGAAGTTAGAAACCTAGACTAATTCGTGCAAAGGCTAACAACAAGTAACAGAGGATATTTAAAGCCATCGGCCCCAATTAGGGAAGATCCAATTACGTAAGCATGAAAACGGGCAATGAACAGGCTGCAAGCATGTGTCAATTGAAGGTCTGGCTGCGAAAACATCCAAAGTGACTATTTAGGGTATTTTTGAAATTTTCGAAAAATGGAAAAAAAAAATCACTTCAACTATCACTAATAGAAAATTCTCAAGAGAAAGACTCAAAGACGTGAACATTTTACACTCAATGACATATAAACAACTAAGCCACAATTCGGACAAAACAAAGACTTTTTAACTTAAAAGTAAGTACTACCTGTCAGGAATAATGAGTGCACATGGAATATGTAAATTTGACAGACTTTATGGTCTAGTGATCATGCAGTTGTAAAGCAAAAGTAGTCTGTAACTATAGAACTGGTTGATTTTTCCTCTTTTTCAAGAGAATTGTCACAACACTAGACTGAAAATAAATGATTGAATACAGTTTTCTTCATAGTGAACGTCTCAAAAATACCCTAAAAGGCTACTTGACAGTTTTCACTGCCATCTCTTCAAATACAGACAGCTTTACTTTCCAAAGCCCCAGGGTTTTTTTTCACCATATACTATACCAATGGGAGATCCAAATATATCATGAAATTATCTTAAATTATGATTCCTACTATATTTTACATACCTTCTGTTTACAAATCTTTATCATTTCGTGAATTGGATTAGCTTTGATTGCCATGGCATGTAAAAATCCTATCAAAAATGTTTGCATTAATTAATTAGCAGCAAGAAAACCTCTTGCATCTAACCCAGACATTTTGAAGTTTGCTGAATTTTGGACTTTGCAGCAACTTATGGCAAATAAAAATGCTTTTAAAACCAAGCATTTGTTTTGCAGAAAAGAACCCAAAATCCTGCAAATCAATAATTACAAAACGTCTAGGCCATGTAATACAAGCAGGCCGGTTTTCTCTCTAAAAAAAACATAATCAAATCACTCTCTAAAAAAAACAATCAAATCGGATGGAGGGGCTCAAGGTAAATTTCTATTTCAAAATGAGGCATTACAGCAATGAAAATATACTTATTTCATTACCCAACATGGTAATTGGTGAAAACAAGAATATTTCTGATAAGTGAACCTTCAATGTGTTAATAATACTGTGTTATGTAAACTAAGCTTAGATTCCTTAAGGACACGACACATCACGTCAAGTTAGTGTGTTTAGTGAAGTTCTGTGTAAGGACTTCTTGTACGTACATCTGTTTCATTTAAGAAACATTCTGCAGTTATTCTGACCCTATTCTATTGGATATTCCATTGAGCTTCCATGGAAATTGAGGGGACACTTTGGATTTTTTCGAATTTTTTTCTACCCCCTCCCCTCCGCAGAACAATTTTCACACGTGTCCATATAAAATTTAAAAAGATAGCCTACTAGATTCACTTGAAGCAAAACAAAAGCTTACATAAAGTCTAACCTTCTCCAAACGCATCCTTTGCTCGCTGAAGATTTGCTTCAAATTCATCCAAATCGAAGAACAGAGCGCATGGATGTGGTTCATCATGTTTTGGAACAAGAGTTTTTGCAGATCCTATCAGACCTTTTTGCAGAGCCACTGGCAAAGCTACTTTGGCGGTTTTTCCAGACATATTACGAAGAAGAATTTTGAGGCCACAGGTTACTTTCGATAATGAAGAAAGCATAAACTACCACAGGTACAGGTACAGTTGTTGTTGCAGGTACGTTCGATATTTATGCATTCAAATCATGTACTTTCCCGGGAGACTGCCCACCAATCTCCTTCATTGCCTACCACAGGGAGACCATAATAAAAACTAATATGTATTCATAATTTTTTATTTCTATACCATATAAATCGCAATTTTTTTGCACCAGTGCGAATATAACAATATGATCATCAACTTCCCTCAAATTGTTTTGGGAACAATAACATTCGAGCTGAGATTGACGAATTCTAATTAGCCTTTACCTAAACGAGCAGGAGACTGGGTACCAGTTATCTAAGAAAAAATTATCATGAAAGACCACCACAAACATAAACAAGATTCCAAAGTTTGGTTGCTTTTGGTTAACTAAATGTGTAAGAAATGGACCTTCAAAATGTTCGAAAATAATACAAGGAAAATGGATCGGAAAACATACATTTCTTTGTAACTTTTGAAGGTCCATTTCTTACACATTATTTAACCAAAAGCAACCAAACTTTGGAATCTTTTTTATTTTGTGGTCGTCTTTCCAATGATAYGATTATTTTTTAATTAGGTTAATTTAGATAACTAGTACCCAGTCTCTGCTCGTTCAGGTAAAGATTTCGGTTAGGAAGGCTGGGGCACATGTTACAACCTTCCACTCAATCTCGTACCCCGAGCTGACCAAGAGAAAGAAGGCTCGGGGTACGAGATTGCCTTCCACTCTTCCTCAACCTCACTGAATATGCGCATATATGTCATGAAATATGATTTTCAGTAACACCTCAGAACAATAAACTGCCTTTCGAGCGAGTTTGGAATAAATACAAAACTATCGAGTTGAAGTTGGTGGCACGTGATTCTTCCTAATATATCGGCTATGTTCGTTTTAAAAATGTAGGTGCATTTACAACCCCGTTTTAATGAATTTTCAACCCTTCTTCCACCACAGACTAACATTTTTCTCCTTTATTTTTTCACAGTTCACCCCTTAGCCCCCTTTCACCAATGTTGGGTCTTGTTTTGGATGGTTTTGTACTATGGTAACATGGTCAATGACAATATTGCATTTAGGGGGTCAGGAGGATGAAATTGTCGATCTGCGGCTGTTGCCTAAAATGAGGAAATTCGCCGGAATGGTCCAAGGATTTTGTCAACGATTTTGGGTTAAGATTCGTTTTCCCGAAAGGGCGACGCCCGTTTTTATTGCACACACTAATTCACGAATATCGTATGTATAGATTCGTAGATCTTCTTTTAAAAAGACATCACATGCGTGCCATTCTAATCCATATGCATTTGTTCAAAAGGTGCAAAAAGGGTTCTCCTTCATGCGTTTGATGGTCGAGCATCAGTAGCTTTAAATGGAGTTGCTGAAGGATTCTACTTTTCAGTCCCACCATCAATAGTTCGGTCAGAGCAGAAACAGAAACTGGTCAAACAAGTTCCACTTTCTAATCTGTTGCTTGAAACTGATTCTCCTGCGTTAGCTGCTGTCAAGCAGGTAAATTATGCATTTTATAGTCTGGTTCTGGGCTCTGGAGGGATTACTTTTAGTGCTAATTAGGCTTATTATTTATCCCTAAGCTTAAATCATATAGTTTCATTTGTGTGACTGTGATAGATAGACTAGAGTGCTTTTAAGCTACGTATTTCAAGTAACTGTATTAAAGTTAATTTTTATTGACAGTAATTTTGTTTCATATTTCAGACTAGAAATGAACCTAAAAATATCGTCACTTCATGTCAGGAGATTGCTAGAATCAAAGGAATAACAATGGACGTTGTTTACAGAGAAACTACGAAAAATGCAATTAAGCTTTTTCCCAGACTCGCAAAATTTTTATGAAC